GGAGGGCAGCGGTACTCACCAAGTTCGTAGAGAACGAGGGGAGGTGAAGACCTGAGAGTGAGCCAGACGGAACCGCCGGACACGGGAGAGCAGTGGAGGAATGTGCAAGAACTGGGCCCCTTGAGGGGTCAGCCAATTTGACTGCAACAGGTGCAGGGAGTGGTGTGACTGTGGTACTGTCGCGAAAGAAATTGCGGGAAGCACCTGAGTCTAGCGTGAAGGTGTGCAAGACCTCAACAAGCGCAGTACCAGGGAGAGCAGACTCACTAGCACCTAGAGCAGCAGCCTCTATACCTGGGTCGGGCGGCATACACAAGTAACAGTCACCCTCAGCACTAACATTCAAGGCATGCATGGCAGCAAGCATGGAATCATAATCAAGAGCAAAGATATCCACACCCTTCCTAAGCAGCTCTAGCCAGCGGGGGAGCTTAGTCGCGTCAAGAAACTCGGCGCGTCTGGCGTCGTCAAGACGGGAGAAGCAGCGGGACTGTGTATGACCAACCTTCCCGCATGTCTGACCAGCGCGGTCACGTATGTGAATGACGTACTGGCAGCGAACACAACCCCAAGACGCCCCACGCTGAGGAAACCACTTACGAAGCTCTTGGGGCGTAGGGGTCTTACGTGGGCGCTGCTGCTGCTACCTCTGACCACCGCCAGAACCTTCCCTCTGACCGGTCCCACCCCAAACGCCACCACCACCGCTGCCGCCACCACTGCCGCTGCCACCACTCCCACTGCCGCCACCACCGCCGCCACCAACGCCTCCACTCCCACCACCACTCCCTCCGCCACCACCGCCACCACCGCCACCTCCACCGCCTCCACCACTGCCTCCACCGCTGCCACCCCCACCACCCTTGCCTCCCTTGCCCCTAATGCTGCGGCGCCTCCCACTAGGAGCAGACGCAGCCCCGACATCCTCAACACGAAGGAAGTCAACAGCTGCAGCAGAAGCGTAGGAGGGGGCAAGGGGGGAGGGGGAACACCCCTCGAAGAAGGGAGTGCGAGGAGTGCCACAAGCAACACCTACAGTGACAATGCTAGCCTCACTCGCAAGGAGGTGCTTCTCGAGCAGGTCGACAGTGAGGTCCGTGGGGTCCTTGGCGAGAAAGAGGTCCCTGACTGCGCTAAGAGATTCAGGGAGGCGAGTGACGACGAAGTAGAGTGCGATGTGCATAGGGGAAGGGTTCTTGTCTAGAAACTTGGTGGGAAGCGTGGCGCGGTAGCGAGTGTCACTAGTGCGAAGGTGGGTGACTAGGTCGTCGACTGTGGTAAAGGCTGACAGCTCGGGAAAGAGGTAGGGCAGTATAAGGCGGCCGAGAGCAGCAGTGGCAGGGGAGGAGTAACGAGCGACTACACTACCGTACAGGGCTTTAGCAGTCTTGTGCTGGCCAAAGTGAGCGCGTTCGGCTAACAGTAGGTGATTGCAAACGGCTAGGCAAGCAGCAGCGTCACGGGTAAGCCACTGAGCGAGTCGACTGTCAGCTATGTCGGGAGGGGCAAAAGAGGCTCCAGACGTGTGGTCAAACAACGAAACGGCGTCTCTAGAATTGCTCAGTAAATACAGCTGTAAGTCATCGGGCCACGTATTGAACTGGATCCGACGGCCCTCAGGATCGAAAATGAGAACGCTGAGAGTAGCCATAGCGGGCAGAGCAGGGTGGCACGCGACGAGTAGGGCAACGCGTGTGCACTAGGGAAACGCGCACGGCAGGGCGGCGCACGGCCAAGGAAGGGCGGCGCTTAGGGCAGCGCAGGGCAGCTCACGAGCAGGGCAGGGCAGGGCGGCGCGCATGCAGGGCAGGGCGGCGCGCGGCTAGCAGGGCGGTGCGTGGGCAGGCTGCAAGACGGCGCGCGGGCAGGGCAGGGCGGCGCGCGGCTAGCAGGGCGGCGCACGGGCAGGCTGCAGGCCGTCGCGCGGGCAGGGCAGAGCGGCGCGCGGGCACTGGAGCGACGCGACGAGCTGGGCAGGGGCGGCGCGCGGGCCCTAGGGTGACGCGACGGGCAGAGGAGGGCGGCGCGCGGGCCCTTGGGTGACGCAACGAGCTGGGAAGGGCGGCGCGTGGACCCTAGGGTGACGCGACGAGCAGGGAAGGGCGGCGCGTGGGCCCTAGGGTGACACGACGGACAGGGAGGGCGGCGCGCGGGCCCTTGGGTGACGCGACAGGCTGGGAAGGGCGGCGCGCTGGCCCTAAGGTGATGCGACGGGCAGGGCATGGCGGCGCGCGGGCCCTAGGGTGACGCGACGGGCAGGGAAGGGCGGTGCGGCCAGCGGGGCGGCGCGACGGGCAGGGCACGGCAGCCAGCAGGGCAGCGGGCGGGCAGGGCAGGGCGGCGCGGAAGCCAGCAGGGCGGCGCGCGGGTAGGGTATGTCAGAATCCCAACCACTAGACCATTGGGATAAAAGGGCTTGTTTCAGTAGCGGGTCAGTGCGCCCATAACCCCCCAGGCGAATGCGCCTGTAACCCTCTCCAGGATCAATCGGGCATCCACAGTGCAGATCTACTGACACCCCCCCACACTAGGAGGCCCAGGACTAAGCACAGCGGCACCGGCCTACATGTGCATACACCGGGAATCGAACCCGAGATCGCTCTGGTACCATGTCAGAATCCCAACCACTAGACCATTGGGATAAAAGGGCTTGTTTCAGTAGCGGGTCAGTGCGCCCATAACCCCCCAGGCGAATGCGCCTGTAACCCTCTCCAGGATCAATCGGGCATCCACAGTGCAGATCTACTGACAGGGTAAGGAGGCGCGGCAGCCATCAGGGCGGCGCGCGGGCAGGGCAGGGCAGCACGACGGGCAGGGTAGGGTGCTACGAGCAGTGTAACGCGCTACGGGCAGGGAACTATTCGGTGGGCCCTAAAAAACGGTCCTGGTATAGGACCTGCTCTGAAACCATGTCAGAATACTAAGCAAGGATGAACGCATTGAACAGAAAGGTGGTACAAGTACTAACCCTAATTGGGTTGCACCCCATATGGGCTACCTCACTACAGCCTACACAACACACGCAACATAATAGTTTGATAATGGCAGCCGCGTTCCTCACGAAGTGACTGGCGCGTCAGCAGTACCAGCATTGCTCCAACCTTACCGGAGGAATCAAACGAGCCATTACCTGCCACGTCCATGAATGAAGGGCAGGGCTCTCGTTATCAGGGTAAAACACCCTGATTGCCCTGACTGGCGGCCGCTTTTTTTCAGTTACCCTTTCCCAGAAAGGGTAGTGGAATTTTTACCCTAGGCTAGAAAGTGTAAGTTTTTTTTTACCCTTTGAAAAACAGGGTAAGGGATTTGTTTCTCCGACTGTACAGGGTACGTCACAACTACACCAGTACCGAATGCTCCATAGCGAGACGAAACACTACTCGAGCCCCTGCAAAATACTCCCAACAGCAAGAGTCGAACAAGCAGTCTTATGGATCTAAGTCATAATTGTACCAACTGAGCCACTATGTGCTGATAGAAATACTTTTTTTACACGACAAGAGTTACTCTGCCCAATCAGTCTATTAGTTTTTTTACCCTGTATTTGTCAGGGAACAAAAAAATTTACCCTATGAGTCAGGGTTGGGACTACCTAGAACCCTGATTAGAAAGGGTGGCCCAAAACCAATCGAGAGCCCTGATCCAGACTAAAACACCTGGGTCTAACATGTGAAAATATATACGTTAAGGTCGGAATCGAGAGGAATCCAAGGATTGAGGGAAGGAATGTGGCGCGAATGCAAGTGTGAAGCACGGAGACAATGTGCGGCACGAAATGAGAAATCAGAGCAATGTCGACCTCGCTTCCCTTGTCCGTCAACCTTTCATCCACCTTCTGGCGCCCTCGCTTCCTCCTTCCGTCGCCCTAACTTCCCCCATATGTCACCCTCGCTTCCCCCTCCCATCGCCCTCGCTTCCCCCTCCCGTCGCCCTCGCTCCCCCCTCCCATCGTCCTCGCTTCCCTCTTCTCGTCGCCCTCGCTTCCCCCTCCCATCGCCCTCGCTTCCCCCTCCCGTCGCCCTCGCTTCCCCCTCCCATCGCCCTCGCTTCCTCCTCCCGTCGCCCTCGCTTCCCCATCTTGTCGCCCATCCCGTCCCCCTACTGTTGCAAGTTGTAGGCAGGTGAATGTGCACTGTGGTTTTAAGGCGTAATAGGGTTTGAGTTGGTCTTTCCCATAAGGTCAACATCCTAGTTTCACTCTTTCATCCTGAAGTGGCCCAGCTAGTTAGCTGGTTCACTTCCGAAAGATGAGGTCCCGGGATCAAATCCCCCCTGCGGCGTGTTCTGCCAGCCCCCCAGAAGGGGGTTACACAGGTGCTCATCTGGGAGTGGATACAACAACCTCAATACCCAGCGAGGCGTGTAAACAAATGGGTAGGCGGGTTACGACCGACAGTCGGGGCAATACCAAGGGGGTTTCCCCATAACCTTTACCTTTACCTAGTTTCACTCTTTCAATCAGGGTACAGAAAACAAACAACTCTTAAAAATCAGGGTGGAACTTCAAAAAGAGTTTATATAAAATTTACAACTTCTGGCAGCCAGTTGTGTTAGGAAGGATGTTTGAAGGGAAGCACTCGGGTTCCAAACCCGCGTAGGTCATCTCCACCACCACTAGATTGTTTTCGTGTGAGATCCTCGCGTACTCTATAAGAAGTAGATCAGAACCGTCAGTGTAACTGGAAGGAGCTGTTCGAATGCACTCTGAAATATCTATGTCATAAAACCAATCATTTTTTTCTCATATGGGTCAATAAAAACACACTCTGAAAAATAAGGGTGCATAAGCAAATCCAGCCTAATAATATGTGTCATAAGAGTGAATCACCCTTATCTCCTGAGGCCTGCATGCGGTTCTCGTGAGCAACAAGGCGCTCATCTCAGGGCCCCATCCCCCTGCTCCTTAGGAGGTTCGCTCATCTCAACAGTCACCATTTACCAAGTTAGACTCATTGCTTCACGGTCGCCAAGCACAGGGCAGAAGAGGCTCTCTCCTGCATTCAATTCAAGAGGGCATCGAGGTGCTCGTCCCAGGGCTCCATACCCGTGCTCCTCCACTGCTGCCGCTTCCACCGCCACTCCATCATGCTGCCATGGCAATGAAGGGAGAATGAAGGAAGCATGCATGAAGGGAGCATGAAGGGAGAATGAAACGGTGTAATGCGGTTCAAGAGGATATTGAGAGGCTTATCCCAGGGCCCCATACCCGTGCTCCTCCACTGCTGCCGCTTCCACCGCCGCCGCTTCCACCGCCACTCCATCATGCTGCCGTGCGAATGAAGGGAGACCAAAGGAGAAGGAAGCAGTGCAATGCGGTTTAGGAGTCGTCAACATTATCGAACCAGCGAACAAACACAGGCAGATGGGTTGCATCAAAAGCATCGCTAATGACAGCTGGCATGTCTCCCACCAGCCCACCCACTCACCGTCTGACAGCTGGCGTGTCGCCGCACCCCTTCAGGATGAGCAGCAGCGTGTTGGCCGGAAGAGACTCGTGCACCTGCCCCACCTGTGCGTCCACCTTCCTGGAAGATTCCTCAATAGCCAAGTTTGCAGGATGAGCAAGTGGGGAAGAGACCTGCTGCTGTGCCTGTGCCTGTGCTTGTGCCTGTGCCTGTGCCATTGTGGTCTCAAGAACGGGTGGTGATGATGCAGGTTTGGGAGCAAGCTCAGGTGCGGGTTTGGACTCAGGGCTGGTGATTCGTGTGGAACAAGGTTCGGAGGCAGGTTCGGAAGCAAGGGCAGTGGCGAGTCGAGGCATGGCGGCAAGGGAGGAGCAGCGGGCGGAGAGTGAGGCCATGAGGGAGGGGAAGGTGGCTGCTAGGAGGTTGACTGATGGCTTGCACGCCTGCCCATGGGGGGAGAGAGGGGGAGAGGAGTGGAGGGATGATGGGAAGGCAGGACGAGAGGATAAAGAGCAGCGGGCGGAGAGGGAGGCCATGAGGGATGGGAAGGTGGCTGCTAGGAGGTTGATTGACGGCTTGCACACCTGTGCACGAGGGGAGGGAGGGGAGAGACAGGGGGGAGAGAGGGGAGAGACAGGGGGGAGAGAGGGGAGAGAGAGGGGGAGAAAAGAGGGAGAGAGGGGAGAGGGAGAGGGGGTAAGGGTGGAGAGAGGGGAAGACCAGGGGAGAGAGAGGGAGAGGTGGGAAGAGATGAAAATTGAGGAAGAGAGAAACGGAGAGCGGGGAAGAGAGAGGAAGCGACAAGGAGACAAGGGGGAGAGGGGGGATGATGGTGTCGCAACTGAAAGGGAGGGAGGAGCAGCGAAGCTACAATCACACTTTAGGGTGGCTTATGCGAGGCGCCAGTGAATTCCTCGCTGCTCTCTTTCCGTCCCGTACCTCTCTTCTCGCAACCTTGCCCAAGTCCCCGTGCTTGAGGCACAAAATCTCTGACGTGGAGTTGGAGTTGCCGCCCAGAAAGAGGTCCGGCCTGGCAGCTTGCGCGTGCAGCACGACGGTGCAGTGCCGCCCAGAGGCAGAGAGGCGCGTGAGAATGTTCTCCGTGTGGTGGAGCTTGGACGCCCTTCGAGGCAGGCTGAAGTGGGGACCTAAGAGGGAGAGGGGATGCAAGGGGGCAAAAGGACGGGGCGTGAGGGTGCAGTGGCGCCCAGAGGCAAAGAGGCGCGCGAGAATGTTCTCCGCGTGGTGGAGCTTGGTTGCCCTTCAAGGTAGACCGAAGTGGGGACCTGAGAAAGGGGCAAAAGGTGAGGTGAATGGTGTGGGACGAAAGAGAAACCCAAGGGACAGGTGGGTAGACATTGGGAAGGAGGGAGGGAGGGAGGCGATTGGGTGGGAGGTGGTTGGGAAGGTGGGACGTAGGAAGTAGATTGTGGCAGTGAAATAGCTGAAAGCTGAAGGGTGAGGGAAAAATCTTTGCCTCAGTCTCTCTCCTTACATGTAAACCTCCCAATCCCTACGAACATGTGTGTATCACCATATTACCATGTTACAGTGTTATGACGAGACCATACCGTGTTACAGTCAACAATGTTACGGTGTTACCACAGTAGCCTAGTGCAACACTACAGTGCCACAATGTTACGCTAGTACCACATTACTTCCTTACCATGTTACCATGTTTCTCAAATGTTACTTTTAGTACACCACATTACTGCGTTACCATGTTACCACATTTCTCAAATACCATGTTACTTTAGTACATCACATTACTGCATTACCATGTTACCATGTTTCTCGAATTTCATGTTATGTTTGTACACCACATTACTGTGTTACCATGTTACCATGTTGTATTTTGAGCAGGGCGAGGTCAAGAGCAGCCCGTGTGTCCTCCACACTGTTATGCCCGGCACTATCAGATGCCACTGTGCCTTGCTGCTCCTCTGCTGCTCCCTCTCTCGCTGCTGCTCCCTCACTTGCTGCTGCTGCTGCTACTCCTGCTGCTGCTGTGGCTTCTTCTGCTGCTCCACCCGCTGTGGTCCCGCCGTTTGCAGTCTCATGCCGCACGCCATTTGCTGCCACCTTTCCATCACCACCCACTCCTCCGGCTGCTGTAGCTAGCGGTGCTGCTGCAACTAGCTTTTGAGCATTACGGCACACAAATTATTCCAGTGGTAACCACTTGCAGCACCCGCTGCAGCCACTGCCGCCCTCGCCGCACCAGCAGCAGCAGCTGCTGCAGAAGAAGAAGAAGAAGCGGCACCTTCAGCACCACCACTACCAGCACCAACACCTCCCCTGTGAAACGACCATCCTCCCCCTCTCACCCCCCCTCTCATCCCCCCTCTCTGTCCCCTCCCTCCCCGCCCCTCCCTGCCCACCAGCCAGCCTGTATGGTCCTCCCAAGGTAATCTGCTGCCAGGAAGCACAGGGCACTCTTGAAAGGGGGGCTGCGAGGGTGCGGGAAGAGCAGTGACGTGCCGATCACGCGCAGATGGACGGCCCAGATCACGTGCAGATCGCTCTCTGTGGAATGGCCGACCAGGATGGTCTCTGCGCTAACTGTGTCGAGAAAATGCTCCTGATCGGGGGAGAGAAAAGAGGGGGCGGGGGGAGGGGGGGAAAGGGGGGGGGGGAGAGGTTGAGACGTCTCAATCACATGTGGCGTGCAGATCGCTCTCTGTGGAATGGCCCACCAGGATCGTTTCGGCGCTGACTGTGTCGAGGAAATGCTACTGATGGGGAGGGTTGGGGGGTGGGAAAGTGGGAGTGGGGACGGTGGGAGTGGAGAGGAGGGGGAGGGAGGGAGGGAGGGATGGAGGGAGGGAGGGAAGGAGCTAGGGAGCGAGCGAAGGAGGGAGGGAGGAGTGCGTACAGGTTTCTATTTTTTGCTCTGGAATGCTATTAAGAAACGAGATGAGTACAGCCTCCACTGTAGCTAGCAGTTCGCTGCATTAGCTGAACTGGCTGCTGCTTCTGCAGGTTCTGAGGCTGAAGTTGCTGATGCTGCTCCGGCTGCTTCTGCTGCAGCTGCTAGTTCAGCTACTGCTGCAGCTGTTGGTCTGGGTGAAGATGCTGTTGGTCTGTGTGAAGATGCTGTTGGTCTGGGTGAAGATGCTGTTGGTCTGGGTGAAGATGCTGTTGGTCTGGGTGAAGATGCTGTTGGTCTGGGTGAAGATGTTGTTGGTTTGGGTGAAGATGGTTATTCTGCACTGGCTGCTTTTGCTGCGGTGGCTGCTGCTGCTGCTGCCTCTGCCGCCTCCACCGCCGCTGATCCCGATGCTCCTGCTTCCGCTGCTGCTTCTCCTGCTGCTGCCCCTGCTGCTGCCCTTGATGCTGCCCCTGCTGCTGCCCCTGCTGCTGCCTCTGCTGCTGCTGCTGCTGCTTCCCCTGCTGCTGCCCCTGCTGCTGCCCCTGCTGCTGCTGCTGCTGCTGCTGCCTCTGCTGATGCCCCTGCTGCTGCTGCTGCCCCTGGTGCTGCTGCTGCTGCTGCTGCTGCTGCTGCTGCTGCTGCTGCTGCTGCTGCTGCTGGTGCTGATCCAATATGAGATCCTGTTGCTGCTCTGATGAAGATACCGATTTTACACTGGCTGGTGCTGCTGCTGCTGCTGCTGTGGCTCAGACTGAAGAGAATGCAGCTGGGAAGCAAGTAGGTGGGAGTATTTCAACCAGACAACTGTATCCTACGTAGCACAACCATCCTGGACAGCCCTGGCATCAATTGCCGACCAGAACGACTGGTGGCACGCATCACATGCTACATGCATCATTGTGACGCCCTCTGTACGCTATACACCACGTCCTCTGTATTGCTGGCCTTGTGTACAATTAGCACGGGCACCATCTGTAAATCAGCACTCCCTTGAATCAGCACCCAAGACCTCCTCTAAGCATGGCAGCGCTGTCACGGCGAAGCCCTCTGCGCCCTATACAGCACATCCTCCGAGCAGTCAAACACGACTAGGTCCGCATCCCTGCTATCGCTAGCTTTGTTTACAGCTGGCACGGGCACCGTTTCTAAATCAGCACTCCCTCCGACCTCCTCCGGGCATGGCAGAACTGTCACTGGGAAGTCCTCTGCTCCCTATACACCACGTCCTCAGTACAGTCAAACACGACAAGATCCGTGTCATTGGCTTTCTGTGCAGAAGGCATGGAGACCATCTCGGAATCATCGTTCCTTTGAATCAGCACTCCCGACTTGGCAATCTCGTCTGCCATCAGGAAAAGGTCATCCAGGCATGCATCTGGAACGGATCCTTGCATGCATGAGTCCATGGAGCTGTAGCTCATGCTCCCCATGGTCATGCCCATGCTGTCAGCCCGATTCAACTGGCAGCTCATGCTTCCCACAGTAATACCCAAGCTGTCAACGCTACTCAGCTGAAGCGTGCTGGAGTGGCTACCCCCATCTTGGAAGCTAGTAGACTGAACGCTCCTGCTATCGCTGGTGTGTGCGTTGGCGCTCCTATACCCTATACCCTCATTATCTTTTCTCGAGGGCCCTGCACCTGTACCCAAGCCATGCATAGTTGTGTGGCCTGTGGAAAGCCCAGGCATGTGAGTGCGGCTGCTAGTGTAGCTACCAGTGCTGCCCTTAGAATCAGTCGTATATACAGCTCGCTGCATAAGCTGTTCCAGCTGCTGCTTCTGTTGCTGCTCCAGCTGAAGATGTTGCTGCAGCTCCGGCTGCTGCTGCTGCTGCTGCTGCTGCTGATGCAGTTGCTGCTTTGGGTGCTGCTGCACCTGCTGCTCCGGCTGCTGTTGCTGCTGCTGCTTCTGCCCTGGCTGAATGTAATGCTGATGCTCTAGCACAAGGTGCTGAAGCTGCTCTAGCTGACGATACTGCTGTGGCAATAGATATAGATGCTGATTCTGGAATGGCTCCTGCTGCTGCTGCTGATGCTGCTGTTGCTGCTGCTGCTGCGGCTGCTGCTGTTCCAGCATAAGTTGCTGTAGCTGCTCCAGAGAAAGATTCTGGTTCCTCTCTTGCTGCTGCCGCTGCTGCTGCTGCAGGTCCAGCATAAGATGCTGTTGTTGCTCTTGCTGCTGTAGCTCAGGCTGAAGAGACTGCAGCTGTGAGTCAAGCAGGTGGGCCTATTTGAGCAAAAGAGCAGCATCTGGTGTAGCACAATCAGTGATGGGCTGAACAGCCCATGCATCAAATGTCTCCTATGGAACTATACCACATGCAGCCATGGCAAGAGCGTCAGCTGGAGTCATCAAAGGGAGTGAATCTTCAATACCAGAGGCAAAGATACCTGTGCTAGCCGCAGGGGTACAGACACCAGTGCTTACAGCAGGGGCTAAGACACCAGTGGTAACACCAGGAGCACAGACACCAGCGGTGATACCAGGATTGGTGGGCATGAGTGAAGAAGCTGCGACTGGTGATGACTCAGAGATGGGTTTTGCTGAGCTGGAAGTACTAGGGATGAGAGGTGAAAATGTGGTTACACCTGTGGTGGTTATGCCAGTGGTGGTTATGCCAGTGATGGTTATGCCAGTGATGGTTACACCTGTGGTGGTCATGCCAGTGGTGGTTATGCCAGGGGTGGTTACGCCAGTGGTGGTTATGCCAGTGGTGGTTATGCCAGGGGTGGTTATGCCAATGGTGGTTATGCCAGTGGTGGTTATGCTAGTGGTGGTTATGTCAGTGGTAGTTATGCCAGTGGTGGTTATGCCAGTGGGGATATCGCCAAAGGTGGGGGCAGCCTCTTGGAAAAGAAGATGCTCAGTGCTGAATAGAAATGGGAGCGCTTGATTCATATGCTGCTGTTGCTGCTGCTGCGTCTGCATCTGCATCTGCATCTGTGTTTGCTGCTGCTGATGCAGCTGATTCTGCGTCTCCTGCTGCATCCGTGTCTGCTCTTTCATCTGCCTCTGCTCATGCCGAGGCGGCTGCTGCTGCTGCACCCGTGTCTGCTGCTGTATCTGTGTCTGCTGCTGTATCTGTGTCTGCTGCTGTATCTGTGTCTGCTGCTGTATCTGTGTCTGCTGCTGTATCTGTGTCTGCTGCTGTATCTGTGTCTGCTGTTGCATCTGTGTCTGCTTCTGCATCTGTGTCTGTTGCTGTGGCCTTGGCTGCTGCTGATGCAAAAGTTCCTGGTGATGCTGCTGCTGCACACAGTGTTGCTGCTGATGGTAGTGGCATGTCTGGTGCTGTTGCTGATGTGGTTGTACCTGCTGCTGCCACTGATTCGGTCTAAGATGTTGCTGGTCCTGCAGATGCTTCTGCTGCTGTTTATCCAGCTGGTGATGCCTGTGCTCTTGCAGACTGATGGACCTATCTATCTGACTTATCTGGCCACCTCCTGTGATGGCTGAGGCATCAACCACCATGGGGCGTGCTTGCTCTGGTTGAGTATGCATGAAGCTGTCCACTGGAATAAATGAAGGCTGGGAAGCATTCGGCGCTTCGGAAGCTAAGCGGGGTAAGCGCGCAGGATCAAGCAATGGAGGGAAGGGGCATGGCGGAGGGGGGGTGTTAGATCGAGAAGGGGGGCAGGAGAATGGAACCTGATTAAAGGGCAGATTCAGAGCGCTGAAGAATTGACTATGAAAATCTGATGAAGGGGAATCTACATTGCTGGGAACTGAGGATGGATGCCATGCTGCAGATGACACGCAAACCGTAGCAAGAGGATGGCTCACAGCAGGAGTGAAGGTCGTAGCGGGAGGGGAGATTGTGTCAGGAGTACGAGCGCATGGTGTGGCAGGAGCAGAAAGGGAAGTAGGGGAGCAGAATGCAGCAGGAGATGAAAAGGTAGCAGGAGTGCGCGTTGTAACAAGAGCGGGCAATGTAGCAGGAGCGCTGGTTGTTGCAGCAAAAGCAGCAGGAGCGCAGGTTGAAGGGCGAGTGGAAAATGTAGGAGTGCAGGTTGTAGTGGGAGAACGGGACATAAGAGCACTGGCTGGAGTGCTAGAAACGGGTGCAGGAGCAGATGATGCAAGAGCAGAAGATGTAATGGCAGAAAAGGGTGCAGGGGCAGAGGTTGCAAGAGCAGAAGATGTAGTGGGGGCAAAGGATGAAGGAGCAGAGGCAGTAGTGGGAGCAAAGGATTCAGGAGCAGGGGATATGGTGGGAGCAAAGGATGTAGTGGGAGGAAATGATGCTGGAGCAGGGGATGTAGTGGGAGAAACGGATTCAGGAGCAGGCCATGCTGAATGTATGGGGCATGATGACGTAGCAGGGGGACCCTGTGTGGCTGGAGGAAGGGATGTAGCGGGGTGCCAGGTTACTACAGCAGCAGGGCTGGAGGAAGAGACACCAGCCAAGCTCATTCAAGAAACGGCAGGAAGTGGCGGCGGGTGGTTATGTGAGCCCTGGTATACTGTCCTCACCACCACGCGCATCTCAGTCCTTGGTAGCACCACAGTGTCAGTCTCCTCACTGTCGTCTAGGCTACTAGTACCCACAGTAGCTCTCGCAGCATCCGCAATGGGGCTGGACCCTCTTGAAGCAGGAGCACCGCCTCTGAATGTGGCTTTTGAGGTGGCTGCACCGCCTTGGTGCCTCGGCCCGGGGATGCTGGTTGAACGGCGATGCCTGGCCGCTCCGGCCACGCGGTCTTCGATCTTCTTTGCCATGCAGCCTGTCGTTTCCTTGGACGCGCACACAAAATACAACCTGCAGGATTTATTGAGGAAAAAACAGATTGGTTAGCACCATTGCCGAATTAAAGAGTCCTGAAAGTGGCCCGAAGCTTCTGAAAGGAGAATTTTGGGGCAGGGTTTTGCGGACCCTCAAAAGTGTTACAAGGTAATCATTTCTGATACAACAATGTGTCAAAAGGCTTATCATTTTAACTAAGAAGCAGACTTTCTTTTCATACTCAGGAGGTATGCACATGGTGCCACCATGGACGGTAGTTGCTCGTATTTTGAACGATATCGACAGCATGGTGGCACATGTAGGTCAACTCGTTTGAAAAGGGTGGCTAGGGCAGATTACAACCTCACTTTTTCATCTGTAGGCCCACAATGCGCTTGTGCGACGTCTTCCTCCATTTGTACTCTTCATGTGCCACGTGCTGCAGTGGATTTGGCGCGTGTTGCGCAAAATTCGGCGTGTGTTGCACCTGATTCGGCATGTGTTGCACCATCGGAGTCAGGCCCATCGTTGGCGACGGTAACCCAACACCAGCACGTTCATAACGTGTGTCTGAACTGGATCCAGAAGCTGAAGCCCTAAGAGTGGCAGGCTGGGGCCACCGCGGCACCGCCTGACAGATTATATCATGTTGCTGTTGCTGCTGCTGCTGCTGCTGCTGCTGCTCGTGCCTCATTGCTTGGAAGCTTGCCGCCAGAGGATCGCAATCCGAGCTGTCAATGTCGGAGGCTCGCTGATCGGAATGAGTCGCTGTTTCAGAGAATTCTTCGGATTCCAAAACAAGAGTTGCGGCAAGTCTGGCTGAGATGGACTCCATGAGGCCTGAGCCAGATCCACATCCGAGTGTTCAAAGGGTCCGGGTCAAACCTCTCTAAACATAGACTGTGTTGCACCCCAAGAGCAAAAGGTAGTAAGTGGAAGGCGTGGGTTGCCAACATGGAAGGATGAAAACTGATGTTCGAGTGGAAGTGGAAGAGGAAGTGAAAAGAATGTTCGTGGAGCATTTCTAACGGAAAGTTTGCGTTTACAATGCGGCGCCTCGCATGACAGGTCTTTCTTTGGTCCAGCGTCATGTTGTTTTGAAAGCAAGGGTGCCAGGCATGGCTGGATTTGGTCAGCAAGGCGTGCGAAGAAAAGAGGGGGACGGAGGGGAGGGGAGAGGGGGGTGTTTCGATTGTGAGGGTTGGAGAGGGATTGGGTGGATTACATGGGTGAACCAGCGACGCAAATTTCACATTTCTGAGTGGATGGGGCATGTCAACTTTCAGATCCGATGGTCTTGGTGCTGTTGCAAAAAGATGCGAGCAGGGAAAAGGAGGGCTGTCGAGGCGAGGAAGGGGGTTTAGGGTCACGTTAAAATTATCAACAGGTCACTTGAAACGTTTGAAACTTTTCTAGTGTATCACTGTTTTGTCAAGATGCACAAGAGGTTTGAAAGCACAACAATTGCTGCTGTCCTTGATCGGTGTTCGTGAGATGCACAAGAGGTTTGAAAGCGATTGCAGGTTCGACGAACTCGTTTGTTGCGTTGTTTTCTTTCAATCGAGCCTGCCCGAATGCACGTGTTCCTGATTAAAACACAGTTTGGGCTAGCCCAGAACGTCATATGCAAATACTGGAATTCGTGAAACCCATGGTGGTACGTATAAAATGGTGTAAAGATTGGTGGAACATTGGTGAAACCATAAAGAAAATGTTCCTAGGCAAGGAAAACCGGCACACCTAGTGCGACAAACGAGTGCCTTTCCTTGTCAAATGTTCCCCCCAAGAGCCCGAAAAGTGCAGTGCAGATATTCAGGTCCAGTGTGGCAGTTTTGCAAATGAACCCTTTACGAATGTGGATACACTGATTTTTTTTTCTTTTTATGAAAAATCCACTATAAAGTGGTGTACGTGAGGATACACAGGTACGTGTTTGTGCGAATTCTCTTACCCAATCAGGTGCGTGTGTCAGAGGTTCACTGGTGATCCCCGATTGATCCTAGGAAAGGGTTACAGGCACGTTGGCCTGGGGGGTTATGGGCGCACTTACCCGCTACACAAACAAGCCCTTTTATCCCAATGGTCTAGTGGTTGGGATTCTGACATGGTATCAGAGCGAAGGTCTCGGGTTCGAATCCCAGTGTGTGCACTTCGAGCATCCCAGTGCGGGGGGGTGTCAGAGGTCCACTGGTGATCCCCGATTGATCCTAGGGAAGGGTTACAGGCATGTTGGCCTGGGGGGTTATGGGCGCACTGACCCGCTACTTAACAAACCCTTTTATCCCAATGGTTTAGTGGTTGGGATTCTGACAGCGTGTAGTTCTAAATTCGTTTTCGTGTGCCTATCCCAAACGCGTGCTTCACTATCGTTGCAAACGTGGCACCCAAAATCACGTGCTTTGTGCACTGTTGCTGGTGGAACTTCGGAACGCCATCCTGGCTGGGTGCCTGATTGTCGGAACTTGATGTTTCCTCTGGCTGCAACCAAACGAAAAAGTGCTTGCACAGTGAATTCATACAATTGATGCGGACACTAGTGTCTCCGCATGGATATACAAATGTTCTGGCTTAGAGGCTCTTCCTAAAAGAGTCCATTTTCCACAACGAGTAGATTTTTCACATAAGTCCTAGGTGTATCCCCTCCTCTACAGTCCCATTTTTGGCGGGAAATCTTGCATCTTGACTGAATCATTGCACGAATCAGTTTCGCAGCCAATCAGAGGACGCAGATCGAACCTGTCAGAACATTAAATGGAAAGAAACTAAAAGGACGTTTTGATTCACTTTTTACTTTTTTCAGTTGTGTTTGTCTGTTTATCCTGACCGCTCTTGCGTATAAATCCTGTCGCGCGGTTCCCTGCGAGCTCCGACGATGCCATCTCATTAATCTCGCTTACAGTGTAAAAAAAAATGTTGTCTTTCATTTCGGCCTTAAACATAATGTATTTTGTATTTTTCTGCCCGTTTGTCCTGCGACACTGATCAGCGCGGCAAACCGTGCGACGAGAAGTTGAAGACAGCGTAGTCCGAATGTACGCGTGACAAAAAAACACGAATATTATCGAAAACAAAATCGCTCTTCATGCAATTGTCCTTATCTGGGAGTAAAAGTTCCCTTTTGCCCGGGGTTAGTGAGTTTTCCACAAATTCCCGCAGCGCGCGTGTTTCTTACGCGGACTCTAATCGAGAACATTTGTAGCGTACGTACTTGGCAGAAGCAATGGAATGGTCAACAGTCTGGGACTCTTGGCAACGACCCACATTTCCACTTCCTGACCTCAAATATATTTCTTAAGTTCCCCTTCTAAAACACTAAAAGCAGCCAGAGACTTTAGAGCTGTAGTTGAGCAGGTACCACGTTCAGGCCCAAACTTCCAAGCTGATTCGATTGCGAGTGAGGAGAGGAGTAATGTGCGTACATAAATTCGTGATTAGACTGGCGAGGGTGTGTCAGATCAGACGCCACACACATTCGCAAGAGAATTACCGCAACGCGGGCTTTGGTCTCGTGAAATTTTCTTATCGCGCTCAATTTTTTCCACAACCCGAAACTCACACACGCCACCTTCTATCCCGCTCGGTACGCGCTACGGAGATTTCGCTTCATTTAAACACCATTATGGTTTTTTTTGGGGGGGTTCCAATTTGTCGGTGGGCAGTTTACTGGTTGACATCGAACATAACTGCCACGCAGTGTTGTCAGATTTATATGACATAGCTACTGTAGGCTATAGTGGGGTAGCACATATGGGGTACAGCTTTCTAGGGTTTTTACTTGTACCCAACTTTCCCTTAGTCATTCCATTCTCGTTCAGTTTCTCATGGTATCGAGCAGGTTCCCCTGTAGGAACTGTTCCTAGGGCCCACCACCTTTTCTTTTCCTGCCCGGAGCGCGCTCTACACTGCCCGAGTCACGCTCCCCTCTCACGGCCCCGTCGCGCCGCCCTTTCGACCCTGTCGCGCCGCCTTAGCGGCCCCGTCGCGCCGCGCTTGCGGCCCCGTCGCGTCGCCCTCGCGGCCCCTTCACGTCGCGCCGCCCTAGCGGCCGCGTCGCGCCGCCCTCGCGGCCCCGATCCGCCGCCCTCGCGGCTCCGTCGCGTCGCGCCGCCCTCGCGGCCCTTTCAAACCGCTCTCGCGGCCTCTTCAAGCCGCCCTCGCGACCCCCCCCTCCTAGCCGCCCTAGCGGCCCCGTCGCCCACCCCTGCGGCCCCGGCGCCGCCCTTCCCTACCTCGGCGCCGCCTCTGCTGGCCCCGTCGCCTACCCCTGCGGCCCCGGCGCCGCCCTTCCCTGCCTCGGCGCCCCCTCTGCTAGCCCCGTCGCCTACCCCTGCGGCCCCGGCGCCGCCCTTCCCTGCCTCGGCGCCGCCTCTGCTGGCCCCGTCGCCTACCCCTGCGGCACCGGAGCTGCCCTTCCCGGCCACGACGCCGCCTCTACTGGCCCCGCACCGCTCCACCCGGCCCCGCCGCCGCTCCACCCGGCCCCGCTGCCGTCCCCACGCGGCCCCGCCGTCACCACCGAGCCGCCGGCGCCGCCTAGCTGCTGCCGAGCCGCCCGATCCGCCCGAGCCGCCGCGCCACCTGAGCCGCCCGAGCCGCCGGGTCGCCGAGCTGCCGAGCTGCAGTTGCTGCCAAGCCGCTGTACCGCCGAGCCGCCCGAGCCGCCCGAGCCGCCGAGTCGCCGAGCCGCAGTTGCTGCCGAGCCGCCGAGCCGCCCGAGCGGCCCGAGCCGCCGAGTTGCCGAGCCGCCGAGCCGCCGAGCTGCCCGAGCCGCCCTGTCCGGTAAGAGCAGCGCCTCTGTCACTGCACTGCCCTTACCCTGCTGTTCGCGCTACTAGCCTACTGCTGTCATGGCTACCCCTAGTGTCCTCGCTTTTGACGCTGAGGGTCGGGCCATTGACTTTGACGTCTGGGTAGATGACCTGCAGCCTTTCCTACAGTGCGATAGGGCACACGGTCTCTCCCTCTTTGACCTCACCTCTGGTGCCTCTCCTGCCCCTGCTGCTTATGCCGACGCCACTGTTCGCTCACAGTGGGCCACACGCGATGCTGCTGCACGTCTTGCTGTGCGTCGC